AGCAGCAGCAGCAGCAGCAGCAGCAGCAGCGGGCGCGCGCGGGCGAGCGACGGAAGTGCCCGTGGAGCCCCTCTTTTTCGCAGGAAGACTGACGGAAAAAGAAGTGCTGGAGTTCCGGGAAATGGAGTTGGAAATGATTAATGAAGATCGGGTTCATCGGGAAAAACAAGAAAAGTTGAACGAGCTGGAAACTGCGGTGTACGTACTCCGCGACGGGCTCGCGGGGCCCCTCAGCAACTTCGCCTCTCCAAATGAAAAACAAAATTTAAATAAAGTTTTGGAAGAAGTTGAGAGTTGGGTGTACGAACACCAGCAGGACCCGCAGCTCACCAAGACCGCCATTGCGCAGCAGCTGCAGCAGCTCGCTGCTCTTGCTGCTCCCGTCCAGCACAGGCAGCAGCAGCAGCAGCGACGCCAGGCCGCTGCGGAGAAACTCCGCGCCACCATACAGGTATTGCTGCGCGCGTCCTCCTCCTCCCGCTGCTGCTGCTGCTGCTGCTCCTGCTGCTGCTGCTGCTGCTGGCGCTGCTGCTGCTGCTGCTGGTGCTGCTGCTGAGGCAGCAGCAGCGGCAGCAGCATGTGCTCGGGTGTCGGGACAGCGCAGCGCGGGGCGGGTTGCAGCAGCTGCTGCTGTGGGGTGTTTGTGGGGTGTACGTACACCAGGAGTGCCGGCACACAGCGACAGCAGCAGCTCCAGAATATGCCCATATTGAGCAGCAAGTGATGCAGCAGCTGCTGCAGGCAGCCGAAGCAGACGAAGGCTGGCTCAACAGAGTGGTGAGTTTTGTCTTGGCCTTTAAAATCCTGCTGCTGCTGCTGCTGCGGCCGTTGCTGCAGCAGCAGCAGCTGCTGCTGCTGGCGGCGCTGTTGCGGCGCGTTTGCTTCGGAAGTAGAGGCAAGTTGCTTTTATTTTGAAACAAACGATTTATAAATGAATAGTTTTTGAAATAAATGATTAGTGGAATTAATAATTTGTGAAATAAGTGATTTTAAAAAGAAGTGTTTGAACTTCCGCTTTGCTGCAGATGCAAGAAGCTGCTGCGCAGCCGCCAACAGAAAACCCCACAGTTTTGGCAGAGACAATTGAACAAAGAAATTCAGATCTTTTTGCATTTATGAAAAAGATCTGCTCCACTCCCAAACCCAGACGTGAGCCTGCTGCTGCTGCTGCTGCTGCTGCTGCTGCTGTGCTGCTGCTGCTGGTTGCTGCCCGCTGCAGCTAGCTGCGGCTCGCAGCAGGTGTTTGCTGCTGGCTGCTGCTAGCTGGTTGCTGCTTGCTGCGACTGGCGGCGTCTAGCTGCTGCTGCTGTGCCTGCTGCTGCTGCTGCCGCAGCTGCTGCCAGCCCTGCGCCTCCTGCTGCTGCTTCTGAAGACGAAATGGATGTCGAGGGGGCCCCGAGGCAGCAGCAAGAAGAAGCAGCAAAAGGAGAAAATGCAAAATGTGATCAAGAGTTCAAAGAGCCGATGGTTGAGGAGCCCAGCGACCCCTGAGGCTCTCCAAACCCTAAACCCTAAACCCTAAACCCTAGACCCTAGAAAGCCACACAAAGCCACCTCGGGGCGCGCCCTGCGCCGCCGCAGCAGCGCGTCCCCTGCTGCTGCTGCTGCAGGCTGCTGCAGCAGCAGCAGCAGAAGCATCAATGGGACACTGCGGGTAAAGGGAAAAGCATTTAAGTTTTGGAGTGTACATGCACGGGGTGTACGTACACCTCAAACCCGGCCGGAGGCCTTCAGACAGCATCAAACGCTTTCACTTTCATTTCCCTGTCGACCTTTGGCTAGCTAGCTGGCTAGCTAGCTAGCTAGCTAGCTGGCTAGCTAGCTAGCTAGCTAGCTGTAGGCTTTGCAGCTGTTGTTTCAGATAGCTAGCTGGCTGGCTAGCTAGCTGGGTGCCCAGCTAGCTAGCCAGCCAGCTGCTCAGCCAGCTAGCCAGCCGGTGCCGGCCTCTCGCGCGTCGCCTCCGTGGCTCGCGGCCAATGTGACCTAGCTAGCTAGCTAGCTAGCTAGCTAGCTGTAGAACTAGCTAGCTAGCTAGCTAGCAAGCTAGCTCTGCAGCTGGCTCGCCCTGCAGCTAGTTGGCTAGCTAGCTAGCTAGCTGCGAAGCAACGGCGAGGCGCAGCTCCACGGCCTTGCAGCAAGAGGGGAAACTTCATTTGAATTAAAAAGAATTAAAAAGAACAAAAAGGAATTAAAAGGAAATTAAAAAGAATTAAAAAGAATAAAAAGAATTCACTGCGAGGCAGAACTGAGAAGGCCCCAAGTGTTCAAATTGCACACTCGCAATGGACTGTCTGTACACCTCAGCAAGCGGAGGCGCACAAACCCGCTGTGCTCGCCCCAGGCAAAGCCAGCTAGCCAGCTAGCTGGCTAGCTAGCTGGCTAGCTGGCTGGCTAGCTAATAACTGCTAGCTGGCCTGCTAATTGCCGCTGGCTAGCTAGCTAATGGCCGCTAGCTAGCCAGCTGAGAGCTGCTGGCTAGCTCGCTAGCTAGCTGGCTAGCTAATAACTGCTAGCTAGCTAGCGGATGGCTGCTAGCTAGCTAGCTAATAGCTGCTAGCTAGCTAGCTGGCTAGCCAGGCAGGCCTGCACCCGACTCGCAAGCAAGGTCGCTGGGGCGGCGGGCGCCCCCGAAAAAACATTCGCGCTGGCTAGCTAGCTAGCTAGCTGGCTAGCTGGCTAGCTGGCTGCTAGCCAGCTTAGTAAACAGGTAGACAGCTGCTGGGGCTAGCTAGCTAGCTAGCCTAGCTGGCTAGCTAGC